TTAAATTAATCTAATTTAGTTTTAATTTGGCCATGCCACGAAGGAAACAACAAAAGGCCTCAACCACCAGCAGAAACAACTAATAGTGCAGTTCTGAGTGTTGTTAAAGATCGTACTTCAATTTGGTTAACAGCAATAGGCCGTTTACAGAAAAGGACGAATCTGAAAACTATTGTGTAATATTTAATAATGCACATATGACGATAAATGCACTTACAAGTATGATCATGTAAAATGCACATATGATTGATTAAAGTTCTAAGTTGGTTCTAAGACTTGGACAAAGTTAAGAGGCACATCAACAAGGTTATATTCAAAAGAAGAGGGGAGAAATTAAAATACTAAAAGTGCCCCTAGGTACGACCGTTTCCCATACATTAATAAGTTTAAATCAGGTCATCTATGTCGAAATAATAATGTATTCAAATTCAATTGGAAATAAAGCATTTATTAACAAGTTAAATTTGAAAAGAAACTTAATAAACTTCATAAATGTAACTTTAAATTAACTTCTCTCCATAGCACGTCACATGCAGTTTTTAACTGTTTTTGACGAAAATATTTAGACGTAAACTACTAATAAAATTTTCCCACTCTCCTAACAAGTATCTATAAACAAAACTGAACAAAACAAACAATAAATTCTTCAACAATTTTCGCAACACATTTCAAAATGTTCAAGTGCACGATTTTCGAGACCTGCGTACAGTCTCTTTTTTCATTTAAAAACCAACAACATTAATCATTTTAAGTTTCAAATCATGGATTCAAATCCGCTATTGTATTTAATTTGACTTCCAAATAGTCGTGTACGTCCGTTCATTTTTACATCCGAAGATGTTCTACCAATTTCTAGTAGTTGATTCTCTTTCTTGAATTGGCTTGGCAATCCATGACATCCTACACCCCCACTAAAGCTATTGTCAACAGTTCAAAACCTTTCTTCATGATGAATATCAGTTTTCATATTTCTTGCAACTCAGTCATAATTTCCAACAAAATTATATTGACTCGCTACAAAACAGAGGGTTAAAACGTTGTGAAAATAGAAATATTGATGAATTTAGGGAACTATTAATGAATTAAAAGTATGTACATTTATATATGCTGTTTTACACTTATTTTAATTATAATTATGTTATATTATTTTAAATACGTTTAATAAGTTTATAAATTTTATTTCTCTAGAGGAACGCCAAGTTTTTTTTGCTCCGAGACCCGAAAACCCAAAGCCGCCTCTGGTCTTATCTTAAAATCTCGTTATTCTACAACAGCTCGTACTTTCGTTAGTAACAGTTACGTAACATTATACTACAGTATTTTCCCTATTAGCACATTTCAGTCATGACTTGTAAAACCCATTACAACTCGTTGAACAAAACCAATTATTTTCTTAATTACAAAACTGATTAAAACTGCATTTCATTGAGCCATTAGAGTTCCCAACAATGAGAAGTAATTCTCAGAATTTCAAACTGCAGTGTCCCGGGGTGGCATTGCCATTGTCGTATTGCAGTCTGACCTCACGTGAAAATTTGGACACATTTCGGTGAACATTTTGAAAATGTTGAGGCATCACCCCAAAAAATGAAAATATACGTTTCAAATGCGTTTTGTTTCAGATCTATTGGGGGGGGGGATAATTTGTAATTCACAATGAACTACTCGTGCTAGCATGCTCAGTCCATTGAGACTGGCACAGCGGGACAGGGAAGCACTCACCTTAGTTTTCAAAAGCCGTAGAAACTTCCCATCAGCAGTCTGATTCTTGTTTATAACATTACATTTATTACTCATTACCGTAACGTATTTCACCAATCCTATGCACCTGTTGTTGGCAAATGCGCATTAATTTAGATAAAACCCGAAGAATGCTTCGAAATTTATCAACCTACTTCAGATTATTTGAACATTGAAGTTAGATCGTGAATTAGTCGGATGCGGAGCAAATTATTTCTAGGTTTGGATGCCTGTAAGGTATTGTTTGGCATTTTTTGATCTCAAATTGGGAAACAAACTTTCAGTGCTATTACACTTTATTAATCCGTTTCACCTAGCTGTTGAAAATCATTAGAATACTATTTGGATTTTTTTTAATTTTATTTTTTCGGGGAAACCAAGGTTGATTTGGGGCTTTTCTGTATAAAAAGGGCTTATTTTGGACTTCAATTAAGACCTTTTTGCTCTTAAATATTTTTTTATAATAGATCCGTCGCATTTAGGGTTGTACGGTGATTGAAGTCCACACAAGGCTATTTTTTTATCTTTTTCGTATACGTACATATACACGGAATAATACGGAGGATGCGGCCAGATCGAAAAGCAAGCCCAGATCAAAGAAATCAGAAAAGTAACCAGTACGGAAAAGTATGTACCATTCTGTAGCACCACTAGTTAATTACGATTGACCACAACGTGCTTCAGATGACACGGAAGCCACGAGAACGGAGAAAACAGCTTCCGGTGGCTACCGGCGATGGAGGGACAGGACTTCAACCACCACCACGGGTCTTGGAAACTGACGAAGGCTACAAGGAGATGACAACCAACAACATCCGTACATCGGACCACGCGGCTGCCGATAAGCTGCATCAGGTATGGACAGTAAATATGATTCGATTAAAGTGGTTACAGAACATCCCTGACGAAACGAAGGTCACTAGTATCAGTAAAACATACTAAGCAAAACACACACTAGAGTCGCAGTTGTTATTCTCGGCACTGAGCGATTGTGAAAACAATAGCACACGAGTCAAAAATAATATTCTCCCTTTTCTTCATGTTCATCCTGAATAGTCGAAGTACCATTGGTGATGGGGGGGGGGGAATCGCGAAATATATTTGGGGATTTAATGTTTTAATAAATAATTAAAATTTAACTCTGGCTGCATTATATCATTTACATAAATATGGTATTGGAAAATACAGAATTGCATTGATGGTTAGGATTTAGACTAACACTAGGCGAGTAAAATGGTTTAGTTTGAAATGGTGGAAAGTCCACGGAGGTAATATCAAGTCTGCAAAATTCAAATAACAAAAGCTAAGCTAGCCTTGCACTGAAACCTTGATTGAAAATGTGTTACCAACATCAATTGCATTGTTTTTATTTTTGTTTGATATTTTGTAAGTACGAAGTTACATTTATACATTTTTTTAACAAATAAACAAGCTTCATTAACAACTTTCCTTCTTAATGTTAAGGATAGGGAAATGGGTAGGGAAATTGTGGAGATTTACATGCGAGAGTTCTCGCACGGGTACGCTAGTACAATTATATTTGAGGGATCAATCTTCAAAACGCGACTTTTCCACCTTTGGGGAAAAACGAGATATTGTTTTTATTTGGGGGTTCGTTGCAGTTATGCGTCGATATATGATTTGTAACAAAATGCGTTTTTGTTCACTCCAGAGGGCTTCATAAGAATGTGTTAATATCAAAACATGATCTTTCCAAAATCTTCATTTCGTTGCAAAGTAAGATCTTTTCAATCCAGCAATCAGATATCCTTGTGTCTATACGTTTTGGCGCCGTATTATATCAAAATAAAAATTTATCGTTCTATAGAAATCTAACTGGTCTAAGCTTTGACCAAGATGATTCTGACAATGTGTATTGTTAAAGTGAGCAGTTAGTATTTACTGATCTTCATATTTGATGAAAAATGCCACACGAGATAAAAAAAATCAAAAAGAAACAATAAATACTCGTGTAAAAATATTTAATAAAAACAATTTTGTTTTCGCGAAAAAATACGTTTTCACAAAAAAATCATTTCAATTCAATTTGAAAACAGACATTTTCAAATTTTTAGCTCAACATTTTTTATGGCTAGATATTCTTGAATTATCTTATAAGATTGTTTTTACTTTCACTAGCCAAGAGCATTAATCCCGAACATTTAGCAGCAGAATGTTTTAAACAAATGATACATTTTTCTCATAATAAACTAGTATGGAAAAGGAGATCTTGGCCGTCCGGGCGATGCCGCGTTGAAGGCTGGGTTGCCGATGTTTCGACCATCTTCTCGAGGTCTTCTTGAGATTCATCCGAGAGCTGACCAGCCCTGAAGAGGGCCACGAGAAGAACCCAACCTTCAACGCGGCATCACCCCGACAGCCAAGATCTCAACTCCGGCCGCGGAAGCCTACAAGTCCCATTTTGAAAGTGCGAAACCTCATTCAGAAGGAGGACCTGTCCTGGGGCCCGAGGCACGAGGCGCTGCGCGTGCTGGAGGCCGAGGAGGGCCCGGAGGTGGCGAGCTTCTTCCGGCTGCTGCTCGGGGAGGGGATGCGCGCCCCAGGCGACTCCGGGCTGCCCGTCGACGACAGGTGAGTGGCGCGCGCCGCTGCTCGTGCAGTGCGCACGGGGTATTTATGTGAGCGGCGCGCTTTACTCCGGCGCGGAGCCACGGGAGCCAAATGAGGGAAATTCCCCCCTCCCTCCTAACATTTTTCAGCATATTTGTGGTGGGAATTACATTTGCATTTGCATTCTCTTAAATTCATATTTATACAAACGTTCTCGTAAAAGGGGTCGATAAAAGTAAAATGTTGGGAATCCTTGCTTCACACTACGACTATGGCTCTTATTAGTATTTAAATGCACACGTTTTGTTGAACATATTGCATGAAGTGGTAGGAGTAGAGTATTACTATTTTCTTAGCAAAGTAAAAAAATAAATCTGGAGTTAGTTTACTGATTCAAATACGTTTTCTATAACTCGGGTACGAAAATGTCTAGTTTCTACAAATGTTGCTAATCTCGCGCTTTTTTTAAATTTTACTGTTATTTTATTATTTTATTTCTTTAACTTTTATTCACCTTTCAACTATTTATAGTTAAAAAGTTGGGAAAGGTTTCTGGAACTCAAGAAAACGTGCGAAGATGATCTTCTCCCAAATACGTCACATACAGCTTTTACTGTGTGTGTCGTTATTTTAATTTTTTTAAAATGTTTTTACTTAATCAACTCGAATCGAATGGAACGGAACCAAACCAAATGAAATGAAATCAAATGGAAGGTTCCCCGTGGCAGGCCCGCGTGGCTGGACGAAGCGCAGCTGCGCGAGGGCCAGCGCTTCGCGCAGAAGTACTTCGGCGGGCTGGCGCTGGCCGAGATGCTGTCGCTGTTCCTGCTGTTCGCGTCGCCGGGCTCCCTGCAGCCGCTCATCTTCTCGGGCAACTCGGACACGCCCGCCAAGGCGTGCCGCCGCTACCTCTCCACGGTGCGCCGCGTGCGTTCCTGGTACACAGGTGAGAGCGACGAGCCCCCGCTCCTGCTCCTCTCCTTCTCCCTGTTGGGTTGTCTGTAGTACTTGTTTAGCTAGCCTATTTTGCTCCATTCTTTCTAAATGTTTTTTTCCACTCTTGTTTATACATGTGTGTAGAATCACGTAATCTAAATATATTATTTTTTTCTTCTATCATCTTTTTCTTTTTTATCTATCAAAGGACAACCTTTTACTCTCCTTAAAAATGTCATCTCTAGCTTGAATATTTAATTTTCTTTTAGAGAGAGAATCCAGTTTTTACTCTTATATAGGACTACTTGAGTTAGCTAGTTTGAGTTGCATACAGAGGAATTTTGTGAAATTGCAACGCTCCTGCTTGAAGCAATTTGCACCACTGGCCTCCATGTTTTAGAATTGCCGCCAATAGAATTGACTGTTAGTGAATTTCAACTAGTTTAGTACAGGTTAATTACTGACATGCTGTAGGAACCGGTTAAGATCTAGTGTATTTCATTAAAATGTATCAAAATAATTTCGACAAATTCGTTAAAATTTATTTTTATTTTCAAGTCGAATTTTCGGAGACTGGATTGGTCTCAAATTATTGTTAAGCACAACATTTTCGTAGCGATATCAATTTAAATTATAGTTTTAATAATGAATATTAGTAATCAAAAATATATGAATCAAATATTTAAATGAAGTGTCGTTACATGACGTTCATTTGCTTCCCCACCTGTCAAAGCGGTTCCCTCTTAGAGTATACAGATATTACTATAAGAAGGGGCGGCTTTGACAGCAACTGCATGGCAACAAAACTGCAGGCTATGTCCATGCACTTATTTTGTCACTGCGTTCATTTACCGTTGTCGTTTGTCCCATTACATTGGCTCGTCTTATCTTTGCATGGCGTTCATTTGCCTTCCGGAATGTCAAGCGGTTCTTCTTAGAGTATAGCAGATATTACTATAAGAGGGGTTGGTTTGAGACGCAGGACTGCATGGCAACATAACTGCAGGCTATGTCCATGTCCATTTATTTCAGGGCGTTCATTTACAGTTGGCTCGTTTCGTCCATTACATTGGCTTGTCTCTATTCTTTGCATGACGTTTGCATTTGTTCGCTGTAAGGTTTTTTACGAGTAAAGAGATATTACTATACGAAGATTCGCTTTGAACCGATGCAATGGAACGTAACTGGAGGCTATGTCCATGTCATTTTTTGCCACGGCGTTCATTTACAGTTGGCTCGTTTGTCATTACATTGGCTTGTCTTTATTCTTGCATGGTGTTCATTTGCTGTGCCAGCCTGTCAAAGGGTTCTTCATTAAGTAATAGAGATATTACTATAAGAAGGGACGCTGTGACCGCAACTGCATGCAAATTACTGAGCTATGTCATGTCATTTTTTGTCTGGGGCTCATTTTACAGTTGGTCGTTTGTCATTATATTGTTCGTCTCTATGCTCTTGCTGGGTTCATTTGCTCCGACCTGTCAGCGTGACCTTAAGCGTTGCGCTGCGAGGCGATTGTGGGCCGGGGGCCGAGCCGGTCGCATTGGCGCGGCCGTGGGCCACTGCAACGCGCTTCGGCAGCAGGTCTGCGATGGCGCGCCGGAGCGCCAGGCCGCTGGTTTGGCGCCGCGGCCTTGCTCGGGGAGAGGCGGGGGGGTTGCGGGTGGCGGCTGTGGCGGAACTTGGCCGGGTCTGGGAGGGCGGGGCGGCGGCCTGCTGCCTTGAGGTGGAGATGGACACAACTCCAAACATGGTTTTTAAAAAAGTGGCTGGCCCATCGCGCACCAAAGCATGGCCCCCTTCTGTCTGGGAAGCTATGGCCAAGGGTGCAAATGGTCGAGCGGCGACAAAACCTACGAACAGTATTGCCTTGGAACTTATTAAATTGTATGAACTTCAAGTGAATACGGAGAAAACCAAACGACGAGTACTATTAGAGAGTGAACGGACATTTATGGTCTTCCGTTCGACGTCTCACATTTACATTCTCACGTGCAAATACCGATTTTCAAATGAACGTGACCAATACCTCATCCACAGAAACATACAAAACAATCGCCTTTTAACCTTTGTATAGATTCGCCTACAAATTAATAGAGACTACTAATATAGACTATTAATGGAGTAATTGCGGAAGTAAAAGTAAACACGAATCAGACTCAGTCTGCGCCATTTTAATCTTTTCGAAAATTACGGGACAAAAATATGGAAGTTTTAAGCACATACCCGAAATCAAATGATGTTGTTTAATATTTTGCGACAGAATTTCCGAATGTAATTGAGAATAATCTTATCAGGCAATGACGCTAAAGAACAGCTTGCATGTGATCTTTTTGGGGGCACATTAGCAAAAAAATCGTACGGAATATAACTGTAAATTCTAACTCTTCGCATCATCCATACCTGTAACTTTGTTTTAAGGCGATTACATTTGCATACGAGTTCATATCCCGTATGGAGGAAACAAAAAACGCCATTGGGTGTTGGGAACTTTTTTAACATTAAGAGCTACGAGTACTACGATTCATTGGCAAGACCAATGCCAGATACCGTAAGAACATGTTTGAAGAAAGCTTGGCGTGAAAGAAATACGAAAGAAATTTCCAACCCATGAAAATACTTTTAAAACAGTTTACAACGTCGGCGACGTCCCATTGAGCTAACTACTATTGATTGCAGGGTGACGGGCTGCGACGGCGGCGAGTGGCTGAGCCAGATGGAGATGTCGGTGACGCAGTGGGCGTTCCTGGGGCTGATGGTGACGTTCCCGGGGCGCTTCGGCGCGGGCGGGGCGTCGGACGCGGAGCTGGAGGCCTTCGTGCACCTGTGGCGCGTGCTGGCGCACCTGCTGGGCGTTCGCGACCGCTTCAACTGGTGCGCGGGCGGGCTGCGCGCCGTGCGGCTGCGCACGCGCGCGCTGCTGCGCCACTTCCTGGTGCCCGCGCTGGCGCACGCCGACGCCGCCTGGGAGCACATGGCGCGCTGCGTCGTCGACGGCGGAAACATGTACGCCCCGGCCACGTCCTTCGAGGTGCGTTGCCCTTCGCGCGAGGCGGCTACTGCAGTAGAGGATGCGTTTCGTCGAAACCATGGACGCAGGCGACAGCGCAGCTTTCCCAGAGCGGACGGGAATCCCATTCGATTTGTCGTGCGCGTACTCCAAAGA